AACTGTGTCAAACCCTTCTTGCAGTCCAAGAAAATGCAATCCACCCACCCCTCTCTCTCTTGTCTTACTGCTGTCACCATGTCATAGAACTCCAGTAGGTTTGTGACACAGGATTTCCCGTCCCTGAAACCATGCTGGCTGCTGTTGATGAGATCATTCCTTTCTAGGTGTTCCACCACTCTTCTCCTGATAATCTTCTCCATGATTTTGCATACTATACATGTCAGTGACACTGGTCTGTAGTTTAGTGCTTCATGTCTGTCTCCTTTTTTAAAGATTGGGACTACATTTGCTGTCTTCCATGCCTCAGGCAATCTCCCTGTTTCGATAGATATATTGAATATTGTTGTTAGGGGTACACATAGCGCCTCTGCTCCCTCTCTCAATACCCATGGGGAGATGTTATCTGGCCCCATTGCCTTTGAGGTATCTAGCTCACTCAGAAGCCTCTTCACTTCTTCCTCGGTTGTGTGCACTGTGTCCAGCACTTGGTGGTGTGCCCCACCTCTCCGTCTTTCTGGAGTCCCTTCTGTCTCCTCTGTGAACACTTCTTTGAATCTCTTGTTGAGTTCTTCACATACTTCACGGTCATTTCCTGTTGTCTCTCCTCCTTCCTTCCTTAGCCTGATTACCTGGTCCTTGACTGTTGTTTTCCTCCTGATGTGGCTGTACAACAGTTTCGGGTCAGATTTGGCTTTCGCTGCTATGTCATTTTCATATTGTCTTTGGGCCTCCCTCTTATCTGTGCATATTCGTTTCTGGCTCTACGACTGTTCTCCTTATTCTCCTGGGTCCTTTGCCTTCTATATTTCTTCCATTCCCTAGCACACTTGGTTTTTGCCTCCCTGCACCTTTGGGTAAACCATGGGCTCATCCTGGCTTTTTCATTACTCCTGTTACCCTTGGGTACAAACCTCTCCTCAGCCTCCTTGCATTTTGTTGCTACATATTCCATCATCTCATTAACTGGCTTCCCTGCCAGTTCTCTGTTCCACTGAACCCCGTTCAGGTAGTTCTCATTCCTGTGTAGTCCCCTTTCTTGTAGTTTGGCTTCATTCGTCCTGGCCTTCCTGCTTCTCCCTCCACTTGTAGCTCTACTGTGTATTCGAAGCTTAAAACCACATGGTCACTGGCCCCAAGGGGTCTTTCATATGCGATGTCCTCGATATCTGCACTACTGAAGGTGAATACTAAGTCCAGCCTTGCTGGTTCATCCTCTCCTCTCTCTCTTGTAGTGTCCCTTACGTGTTGGTACATGAAGTTCTCCAGTACCACCTCCATCATCTTAGCCCTCCATGTATCTTGGCCCCCATGTGGGTCCAAGTTCTCCCAATCGATCTCCTTGTGGTTAAAGTCACCCATGATCAGGAGCTTTGCCCTGCATGCATGAGCTCTTCTGGCCACTCTAGCCAGTGTGTCAACCATCGCTCTATTGCTCTCGTCGTACTCTTGCCTTGGCCTCCTGCTGTTCTGTGGTGGGTTATACATCACTGCTATTACCACCTTGGGACCTCCAGAGTGAAGTGTTCCCACTATGTAATCACTTTCTTCTCCGCTATCTCCTCTCTCCAGCTCATCAAAATTCCAGCGATTTTTGATCAGCAACGCCACTCCTCCACCCCCCCTGTTCCCTCTGTCTTTCCTCAGGATTTGGTATCCCGTTGGAAAGATGGCATCTGTTATCATACCTGTAAGCTTGGTTTCTGTAAGAGCTATGATGTCCGGTGATGCTTCTTTGACCCTTTCTTGCCACTCCTCCCACTTATTTGTTATTCCATCAGCGTTTGTGTACCATACCTTCAGTTTCCTTTCCAACACTGTGGTTTGGGGGGCCTGTGGGGGTGGGAGACCTGGTGGCATACTGTGGGATTCTATAGCTCGATGTTGGGGGGAGGCTGTGGGTATGGATTGTAGTGTGTGTTGGGATGGTGTGATAGGTTGTATGGTTCTGAGAGTAGTTGTGTGTGTGCTTGCCCTTGCTGTTCTGTCCTGCTCTGACTGACCTCTGCTGATTCCCTCCTTGTCTCTTTTCCTAGCTCCTTTCGTTTTTTTGTCCTCTCCCTCAGCTGCTGTCGTTCTGATTTTGTTCTGTCTCTGTCTAGGAACACCCTCTTGTACTCTTCCGAGTATTTCAATCGTGGTTTCTCTTGGAGGATCCTGTTCCGCACTGTTTCCGTCCTGAGAATCAGCTTGATTGGTCGGTTTCTCCCCTTCGAGTACCCCCCTATTCTCTGAAAATTTACAATCTCGTCCATATCTTCACCTATTTCCGTGATGATTTTCTCAATCTCCTTTCCTTCTTCCTGCTTCCTTTCAGTGTGTGTCCTTTCCTCTCTCTCCTGAAGCCCATGTGTGTGTCTGTGTCTGTGTGTGTGTGTGTGTGTGTGTGTGTGTGTGTGTGTGTGTGTGTGTGTGTGTGTGTGGACTTCTAAATGTGCTGAGTCAGGGTCTGGCAGCTGTCAAAATGACATATTATATCATTACTCACTCCCCCTACTGCCTGTAAACACAGTGGGGTCCAATGCTTGCTTCCCCACCATCCTTCCTACCTATCTTTCTTTCTTTCTTTCTCCCTCTTCTTCTTTCTCTCTCCCTCTAGAGAGAGTGTGAGAGAGAGAGAGAGTGTGTGAGAGTGTGAGAGAGTGTGAGAGAGAGTGTGAGAGAGTGTGAGAGAGAGTGTGAGAGAGAGTGTGAGAGAGAGTGTGAGAGAGAGTGTGAGAGTGAGTGTGAGAGTGAGTGTGAGTGTGTGTGAGTGTGTGTGTGAGTGTGTGTGTGAGTGTGTGTGTGAGTGTGTGTGTGAGTGTGTGTGTGAGTGTGAGTGTGTGTGAGTGTATGTGTGAGTGTGTGAGTGTGTGTGAGTGTGTGTGAGTGTGTGTGAGTGTGTGTGTGTGTGTGTATGTGTGTGTGTGTGTGTATACTCACCTGTATGTAGTTTCAGGGATTGAGTCACAGCTCCTGACCCTGCCTCTTTGCTGGTAGCTACTAGGTTCACTCTCTCCTGGCTTCAAGAGACTTATTGTGTGTATGTGAGAGGGGGGTATATGAGAGAGAGAGAGACAGGGTGGGTGGGTAGGTATGAGAGGGCAGCTTTCAGAAAGCATGAGGTAATGTGTGGGTAGTAGGTATGAAAGGGTGAGGGGTGGGTGATTATGAAGGAGGGTGCAAATGTGGGTGGGTGAGAGAGGGGGTGAGTAGGCTGGTGTGAGAGGTGGCTATGAGATAGTATGTTTGTGTGAGCATGGGAGGGGTGGAGACAGATGAATGAACAAGAATTTCTCTCCTTGTCCCCACCCCCACCCACTTCCCTGCCTTACCAATAATACTCCATTCACCCACCACCCCGTCCCCTGTCCCCCGCCACAAAACATCTAACGCAATGTAATAAATCTACAGCACAGAGTCTCAACAACTTCTACAAAAATAAAATGAGCTTTTATATATGCAGGAAGGGAGACAGTGAATCAATGAGGGATGGAGAGGCCTCCCTCCTTGGCTCTCAGCTAACAACCCCCCCAACCCCCAACCCCCACCCCACCTTTTCAGGGCGTGTCCTTCATTGGCACGTCGGTGATCCATCCACCCGTCCACCCACCCACCCTTCTTTTCTCTCCCCTGCCCAGCAACTACTCATAGTTAACACAACATAAAAAATGAATCTATAGTTCTTTATCAAATAGATGTATGCATATGGTAAAAAATGAACTGAGATAAAAATATTTTCAAGTCATCATTAATAAAAACGTGCTAACAGACAAAATTCAGAATTACGGACTTTTGTTCATCTTGTCCGATAATTATAGTACGTACAGTGGACCCCTTCCTTACAATGTTAATCCATTCCTGAGAGCTCATCATAAGCCGAAATTATCGTTAGCCAAATTAATTTTCCCCATAAGAAATAATGGAATTCAAATTAATCCATTCCTGACACCCCAAAGTATGAAAAAAAACAATTTTTTACCACATGAAATATTAATTTTAATACACACAAACTGAAGAAGACATGCACAATTACTACTCTACTAAGAATAGAATACATGATACTTACCTTTATTGAAGATCTGGTGATGATTGATGGGATGGGAGCAGTGGAGTGTGGAAGTTATTGTTTAGAAGGGGAATCCCCTTCCATTAGGACTTGAGGTAGCAAGTCCTTTTCTGGGGTTACTTCCCTTCATTTAATGCCACTAGGACCAGCTTGAGAGTCACTGGACCTCTGTCGCACAACAAATCTGTCCATAGAGCTCTGTACCTCCTGTTCCTTTAAGACTTTCCTAAAATGGGCCATAACATTGTCATTGTACAGGTTGCCAACACGGCTTGCAGTAGCTGTGTCAGGGTGATTTTCATCTGTAAAGGTTTGCAGTTCAACCCACTTTGCACACATTTCCTTAATCTCTTTTTTCAATTCCATACCAATTCTCGCCCTTTTTACCAAAGGGATGGCACTAGAAGCTTTCTTGGGGTCCATGGTGACTTAATTTGCAGTTACAAGCACTAAAAACACTGGGATAATGTGAAATGTACCGAATGTATGCGTAGATGTGATCACACTGGCTGGCTTGTAAACACTGGCACTGAGGCCACACATGGGACGCGTCCCATTCGAATCACGTAAGGCGAGTTTTTTATCTTGAGGCAAGGCAAAATTTTCGCGTTCAAATGCTTCGTGTGGCGGATTTAACATAACGCGATGCGTTTGTAAGGCGGGGGTCCACTGTACTTGGTTGGCTGATTTTTTTTTTTTTGTCAGAAATTGCCAAAATCAGTTAATGAGAGGTTTTACTGTACTAAGGCATAATATTCCAAATGTCATTGGGCATTGTGAATGAAAATAACTTTTGAATCAATACACTGTATACCATATAATTGGCCTGAAAGATGGATGGAAAAAAAAAAGGCCTTCCCATGAGATTATTTTTGTGATTTAAATTGCCTCTCAGAACCTGTATATTTTTATTGCCTAAACATTTAACACTTTGTGTTTCTTGCTGACTCAGGTGAGTATGCAGGAACTCAGGGACTTGGTCTACTCAGACTACACTCAACTTACCGCCACGATCTTAAAATATACGCCAGTGATGAGGGGAGAGTTCAGATGACGGCTGCTGCATTCGCCAAGGGTCTTTTAGCTTTGGAAGGCGAACTTACTCCAATTCTAGTACAAATGGTTAAGAGTGCTAATACGAATGGATTGTTGGATAATGACTGTGACTCCTACAAGCATCAAAACATGTGAGTTCATCTAGACATGCAGTTCTTTTAGCCATAGGATTGTGTAGAACTTATCAACTAATTTCAGTTCCTTTATAGTTAATTATGCAGTACTGTGTATTTACAGTAAAGTTTAGCAAAAATCATTAGTGTAAAAAAAAAACATTGTTTTTTAAAACAAAAGAAAAACAAAATTTAATGCTAATATGCTAGTTTTTTAAGAAGTTTTAGACTTTTTATATATTTTTTCTACATGTTATTAAGCATAAGCATTACATTCAGGATGATTTAGCAATCATTTCTATTAAGTTGACATTTATGAAAGGATTGAGAGAAACCAGTTAGCTGGACTTGGGTCCATTAAGTGGAAAGTGTAGTGCCTGCATTCTGAAGGAAGGATGGGGGGGTTGATACAGTCAGTCAGCTAATACTGAGTTCATCTAACTGCTGTGTCCAAAGAAGAGTGGGGCGAAGCATGTTTGAGAAGCAGATTTGTCATGGCAGATATTGTGTAACTTCATTTTTTATGACTATCATCAGGAATGCTTCTATATATAGTATCTACATCTTGTTGGATCTGGTTCGCATATAAGCTGAACTTCATTCCACTTCATTCCTCGGTGTATACACGCATATTTATATTCTTTGCTAGTACCAGGTAGATTGCCCTCAGTGTCTCCCACATATTTCTTGTCACAGCCTCCACACAGGATAGTGCAGACCAGCAGTAGATACTGGGCAAATGACAGTATGTGATACAATAAGGACAGTAATCTTTAGCTTCCTTGCAAGCACATGAATATCACTTTTTTTTTTTTTTAACACATTGGCCATCTCCCACCAAGGCAGGGTGACCTGAAAAAGAAGAAACAAAAGTTTTTCTTCTTTTTACATTTAATAATTTATGCAAGAGAAACAGTTACCAGGCTCTTGTTCCAGACATTTTAGTCGCCTCTTATGACATGCATTGCTTATGGAGGCTATTTAAATTATAAGATTGTGCTTCTTCTAATTTCAACAAACCAGTCGTATCCCACTGAGGCAGGGTGGCTCAAATGAAAAAACGAAAGTTTCTCCTTTTAAATTTAGTAATACATACAGGAGAAGGGATTACTTGCCCCTTGCTCCCGGCATTTTAGTCACCTCTTACATGACGCATGGCTTACAGAGAAAGTAATTCTGTTCCACTTCCCCATGGAGATAAGAGAAAATAAACAAGAACAAGAAATAGTAAGAAAATAGAAGAAAACCCAGAGGGGTGTGTATATACATGTATATGCTTGTACATGCATGTGTAGTGTGACCTAAGTGTAAGTAGAAGTAGCAAGACATACCTGAAACCTTGCATGTTTATGAGACAGAAAAAAAGATACCAGCAATCCTACCATCATGTAAAACGATAATAGGTTTCCATTTCACACTCACCTGGCAGGACGGTAGCACTTTCTTGGGTGGTTGCTGTCTACCAACCTACTACCTAGGTATTTATTTTACCTTTGTTTAAATTGCATCACTTCTATAATATTTGTTTTGTTCAGGGTGAAAAATCATCTTCATGAAGCAATGCAACAAGATCGCATACTTACAAAGGAAGATATGGAAAAGTTAAACCCAACTAATTCAAGATCAATAAAAACTGCTCTTGAGTTTATTCAGAACCCCGTCAAAATGTGCGAACATGTCAATGCTCTCATCAAGAAACTAAATGAGAGAATAAAGATTAGAAAAGAAGACCAAAAGACAAAAGGTAAATATTTTACTTATTATTTACAACTGTTAGTCCTAATTTTATGAATTATTGTAAGGGCTATTTGATGTAGATGTAACAACATGTACTGACAGTCATTAGATAATATATATGTCTCACACCATCTAGCTTTCTACACTTAGATTACCTGTTTGTGGCTACTGAATTTATTGTAATTTGTTTTAATTTCCAATGATTGTAGCATTTACTACCTCCTCTTGTAGCTCTTTACATTTAATGACTATTTTGTCTGCAAAGAAAAATTTATTAGTGTACTTTTGGCAGCTCCACTTGCTGTAGTTGTTGCCTTCTTGTACCAGTTGTTGGGTTTAGTAAGTCTTCCTTGCCATTTCTTGCGTGTCCTTTCATAATCTGTCCACAAGTAATTTACAGTTTTAAAAGGAAACTTTAGATGACATAATTTGTCCTGGATTACTATCCAGTTATGACCACAAGAAAATTGAAGACAGTTGATGTGTAGAGGTAAGAAGAAAAGTAGAAGACAGGTTGTTGAAGAAAATAATCTTGAGTGTGATTATCATCTCCTTTCCTCTTGTCAGCCAAAGATGGCATGTCTGTTGGTTTCAGCCTTCCTTTATATATTTTTTTCTTTTTTAGCTTTATGAACCATTTTGTAGCTCATCTTTGGGCATTTTCTGTTGTGTGTATTTATTTTTTAAATATGTACACTATACCCTTGCTGTGTACATTCCAGTTTTGGTTTAATATATGTTATGAACAGCTTCTTCTGCCTCATGTGTTTAGCACTAATTTACAGGGTGGTAGGAAAAACTTGCTTATTATCGTCTTTCCTCCTAGGACAATTGAACCCTCATAAGAAGTTGACCTGCCCAGGCACCTACCTCTCTCCCGCAATAGGGACTGTACCCAAAACGTCTCTTGGGTCCCTCTTGGATCGATGGGGTAGCTGAGGACATGAACCGCTTTTCTACGAGTCACCAGTTTCCAGTCTTCGTCTTTAAGTTAGGCCTTACTATCCCAGTTACTGTGTACAACTGATACAATGCCTCTGGTCTGAACAACATGACACATATCTTCCCTCTGGTTCCACTGTGGTTGGATACCATGACTGTAGTTATAAGTTAGGTTGCTGTATTGTCTCCTTGTCAAATGGAAGTCTCTCCATCCTTGTTTCCCTAACTTATGAAATATAAAGGTTTATTTCTTTGTAAAGGTTACAATGTGTAACTACAATTTTTGGTTTGCTAGGTACAAAGCCACTATCATGCTGGGGCATTTTGGGCAGACTAATCCTAATACATAGTAACTACTTAAAACTAGACAAGAAATAGTACATAGTAACTACTAAAAATGAGACAAGAAATAACGGTTAACTGTATTACAGTCTTATTTGATCTTAATACTAATGCAAGGTAGTCAAGGTGGCGGTTTATAAGTATAATAATCTTGAAGTTGCACATAATAAAAACAATATTACAAATACTGTAATGGTTCAGGCAGTAATATTTAATGGATTGGCAGAAGTTAAAAGCCTAGAGGTCACATATTATAACAAATTACCAGATGTTCTGGTTGATTTGGTTAATATTAAGAGATCTCTGCAAAAACAGTGATTATGTGTGAGTGAGGTGAAAGTGTTGAATGATGATGAAAGTATTTTCTGTTTGGGGATTTTCTTTCTTTTTTGGGTCACCCTGCCTTGGTGGGAGAAGGCCGACTTGTTAACCCAATGGACCCCAATGGAAATAAGTCACTCTGTCTGACTTTTTTGGGTTATCCTAGGTTCTCTACACATGCTGCTATGTATGATAATTCTATGTAACTGTATTTGTGTATACCTGAATAAACTTACTTACTTGCTTACTAACCCTTAAACTGTCCAAACGTAGATCTACGTTTTTTCAACATTTGAAAGTATGTAAAAAAAGTAGATCTTCTTTTCTTTTTTTACATTTGAAAACGTGTAAAATAAACTTTGATCTAGTTTTTTTTTTTTTTTTTTTTTTTTTTCTTTTAAAAATATGTAAAAAAAAAAAAAAAAAGTAGATCTGCTTTTGGAGCACTATGCATGTGAACATAGATCTGCTTGGACAGTTTAAGGGGTTAAAAAAAAAATGATTTTTTAGTGAAGTCCTAAATTTATAAGTAGTCAAGGGATCATTTACTGGTTCCAGTAGCTAGTTCCAGATCTTCAGGCCCTTTATGTGCATATTGTTTTTGCATAGTGTGAGACTGACATGAGGGATGGTGAGTATGGTTCTTTCTCTTTGTAGTTAAATATGGCCATACATTCTTATTGCTCCAAGAAAACCTCTCCAACCTTGTTTCCCACACTTATGGAGTATGGTTCTTTATCTCCCTCAAGTGCCCCTCCTGTTGTCTAACACACTATTCCTACTTGAATGGAGGAGTGAGAAATGTTGTATCTGATAATGCATTTCTGTATCTCTCACTGGAGTGAGAGATATGGAAAGAAGTGTAGAATAAATTAGGAAAAAAAGCATGGGCATCTTAAAAACATTTAGAGAACACTGTGTGAACATTTGTGGTCCAAAACCTCTTAACCTGCTTCCAACAGATATGTAAGAAATATTGCTGAAACAAAGATAAAAGATTTTAAAGAAGAAACTGGACCACTACCAGAAAAAATGCCACATAAGCCAGGTTGTGATGGCTCTGGTATTATAACTAATATTATTATTAAGTCAGTAGAGAGGTGGTGACGTAGCTAGCCAGATCAACAGCTGATTACTTCCTAACAAAGAGATTACTTCCTAACAAAGACCTTTGGGATTTCACCTGAATCTGTGCTTCTTATCCACGGAACACTGAGCACTCATGCTAGTAGTATTTTGCATTTTTTATAAATATTGCATTCTTAAATCCCATATGAGTATTGCATTTTGTGAATAATTAATTATAATTGCCTATAATACCTATTTTAACCTGTTTTTCAGACCTAATTATAATCCGTGATCATGTGTTGTTATCACAATATTATTGACAGTTCAGTTTAGATTATAGTCTTCACATATTAATATGTTGAATCAAACTTAGTAATCTTAACCATACTTATGCATTGTTTTTATTTTTTTAGACTGAAGGCGTAGTGATAAAGAAAAATGTTAGATGCTTGAAATGCTCTGTTTAAACAGTGGCTTTCCAATAAGCTTGTAGCTTTTTTCTCCATTTTTATTTTAATTTTCTATGAATTAGGCCCAGTAGTGTATGTGTGGGAATGTTGTTTATCTCTTAGTCAAATTTGTAGGTTCTGTGCTAATGTCAGATACATACTGTAATTTGTAATGTAGGCAGAGTTAATGAGAAAACTGTCTGGGTCTTCAACTTTTAAGAATTTATGTTATTTTCATGGTATTATTTTGCAGAATTGCCATTGTATCACGGTGAATCTTGGGAACTAATGCAGCGTCGCTGGGCAAAGCTGGAAAAAGATTTTAGAACAAAAAATACAAAATTTGATATCTCCAAGATCCCAGACATATATGACTGCATCAAGTACGACTTACAACATAATAACCACACTCTGCAGTTTGAGCATGCAGAAGAACTGTACAAATGTGCCAAATACCTGGCTGATGTAGTAATACCACAGGTAATTCCACTGCTTATATTCTTTCTTATTTTTCTTTCAACAAACTGGCCATATCCCACTGAGGCAGGGTAGCCCAGAAAGAAAAACAAAGGTTTCTCTTTTTAAATTTAGTAATATATACAGGAGGAGTTACTAGCCCCTTGCTCGTAGCATGTTAGTCGCCTCGTACGACACGCACAGTTTATGGAGGAAGAATTCTGTTTCAGTTCCCCATGGAGATAAGAGGAAATAAACAAGAACAAGAACTAGTAAGAAAATAAAAGAAAACCCAGAGGGGTGTGTATATATATGTGTATATATATGGGATATTGGCAGTTTGGAGGGATGTGTTGTGTATCTTTATACATATATGCTTCTAAACTGTTGTATTCTGAGCACCTCTGCAAAAGCAGTGATAATGTGTGAGTGTGGTGAAAGTGTTGAATGATGAAAGTATTTTCTTTTTGGGGATTTTCTTTCTTTTTTGGGTCACTCTGCCTCGGTGGGAGACGGCCGACTTGTTGAAAAAAAAAAAAAAAACATGCATGTATAGTGTAATCTAAGTGTAAGTAGAAGTAGCAAGATGTACCTGAAATCTTGCATGTTTATGAGACTGAAGAAAGGACACCAGCAATCCTACCATAATGTAAAACAATTACAGGCTTCCATTTTACACTCGCTTGGCAGGATGTTAGTACTTCCCTGGGCGGTTGAGGTCTACTAACATACTACCGACTGCTTATATTATAATTAGAATTAAAATAATTGTTCTACTATGCTTTCAAGTTCTAAGGTAAAATAATTTAGTGTTTACTTATGTACAAGGTATTATCATGTCTTCAAGAAGGACAGCAAGAGAATGAGTGATGTTGAATGTATGCTCTTCTTTTGGTCAATCTACCTTGGTGGGAAGCAGCAGATATACTAAAAAAAAAAAGTCATATCATTGATGCCTTTGTTCTTCTAGGAAATGTTTTTGTTTTGAGGCAGATGTTCTTGCTTCATCTGTGTTAACCCTTAAACTGTCCAAACATAGATATACGTTTGCACTAGTAGTGCTCCGAACGTAGGTCTACATTTTATTTTTCATTCCTTAATTTTTTTTTTTTTAACAAGTCGGCAGTCTCCCACTGAGGCAGGGTGACCCAAAAAGAAAGAAAATCCCCAAAAAGAAAATACTTTCATCATCATTCAACACTTTCACCTCACTCATACATAATCACTGTTTTTGCAGAGGTGCTCATAACACAACAGTTTAGAAGTATATACGTATAAAGATACACAACATATTCCTCCAAACTGCTAATATCCCGAACCCCTCCTTTAGAGTGCAGGCATTGTACTTCCCATTTCCAGGACTCAAGTCCGGCTGTATAAAAATAACCAGTTTCCCTGAATCCCTTCACTAAATATTACCCTGCTCACACTCCAACAGATCGTCAGGTCCCAAATATCATTCGTCTCCATTCACTCCTATTGAACACGCTCATGCACGCCTGCTGGAAGTCCAAGCCCCTCGCCCACAAAACCTCCCTTATACCTTCCTTCCAACCTTTTCGAGGACGACTCCTACCCCACCTTCCTTCTCCTACAGATTTAAATGCTCTCCATGTCATTCTACTTTAATCTATTCTCTCTAAATGACCAAACCACCTCAACAACCCCTCTTCAGCCCTCTGACTAATACTTTTATTAACTCCACACTCCGAATTTTCTGCATAATATTTACACCACACTTTGCCCTTAGACAAAAAATCTCCACTGCCTCCAACCGCGTCCTCGCTGCTGCATTCACAATCCAAGCTTCACACCCATATAAGAGTGTTGGTACTACTGTACTTTCATACATTCCCTTCTTTGCCTCCATAGATAACGTTTTTTGACTCCACATATACCTCAACGCACCACTCACCTTTTTTCCCATATCAGTTCTATGATTAACCTCATCCTTAATAAATCCATCCACCAACACGTCAACTCCAAAGTATCTGAAAACATTCACTTCTTCCATACTCCTCCTCCCCAATTTGATATCCAATTTTTCTTTATCTAAATCATTTGATACCCTCATCACCTTACTCTTTTCTATGTTCACTTTCAACTTTCTACCTTTACACACATTCCCAAACTCATCCACTCACCTTTGCAATTTTTCTTTAGAATCTCCCATAAGCACAGTATCATCAGCAAAAAGTAGCTGTGTCAATTGCCATTTTGTATTTGATTCCCCATAATTTAATCCCACCCCTCTCCTGAACACCCTAGCATTTACTTCTTTTACAACCCCATCTATAAATATATTAAACAACCATGGTGACATTACACATCCCTGTCTAAGACCTACTTTTACCAAGAAGTAGTCTCCCTCTCTTCTACACACCCTAACCTGAGCCTCACTATCCTCATAAAAACTCTTTACAGCATTTAGTAACTTACTACCTATTCCATATACTTACAACATCTGCCACATTGCTCTCCTATCCACTCTATCATATGCCTTTTCTAAATCCATAAATGCAATGAAAACTTCCCTACCTTATCTAAATACTGTTCACATATATGCTTCAATGTAAACACTTGATCTACACATCCCCTATCCACTCTGAAACCTCCTTGCTCATCTGTAATCCTACATTCTGTCTTACCTCTAATTCTTTCAATAATAACCCTACCATACACTTTTCCTGGTTTTTATTATTTATTATTAGCACACTGGCCGATTCCCACCAAGGCAGGGTGGCCCGAAAAAGAAAAACTTTCACCATCATTCACTCCATCACTGTCTTTCCAGAAGGGTGCTTTACACTACAGTTTTTAAACTGCAACATTAACACCCCTCCTTCAGAGTGCAGGCACTGTACTTCCCATCTCCAGGACTCAAGTCCGGCCTGCCGGTTTCCCTGAATCCCTTCATAAATGTTACTTTGCTCACACTCCAACAGCACGTCAAGTACTAAAAACCATTTGTCTCCATTCACTCCTATCAAACACGCTCACGCATGCCTGCTGGAAGTCCAAGCCCCTCGCACACAAAACCTCCTTTACCCCCTCCCTCCAACCTTTCCTAGGCCGACCCCTACCCGCCTTCCTTCCATACAGACTGATACACTCTTGAAGTCATTCTGTTTCGCTCCATTCTCTCTACATGTCTGAACCACCTCAACAACCCTTCGTCAGCCCTCTGGACAACAGTTTTGGCAATCCCGCACCTCCTCCTTACTTCCAAACTATGAATTCTCTGCATTATAATCACACCACACATTGCCCTCAGACATGACATCTCCACTGCCTCCAGCCTTCTCCTCGCTGCAACATTCATCACCCATGCTTCACAACCATATAAGAGCGTTGGTAAAACTATACTCTCATACATTCCCCTCTTTGCCTCCAAGGACAAAGTTCTTTGTCTCCACAGACTCCTAAGTGCACCACTCACCCTTTTCCCCTCATCAATTCTATGATTCACCTCATCTTTCATAGACCCATCCGCTGACACGTCCACTCCCAAATATCTGAATACATTCACCTCCTCCATACTCTCTCCCTCCAATCTGATATCCAATCTTTCATCACCTAATCTTTTTGTTATCCTCATAACCTTACTCTTTCCTGTATTCACTTTTAATTTTCTTCTTTTATATACCCTATCAAATTCATCCACCAACCTCTGCAACTTCCCTTCAGAATCTCCCAAGAGCACAGTGTCATCAGCAAAGAGCAACTGTGACAACTCTCCACGCCTCTTGCCAAGACCCTCGCATTTACTTCTCTTACAACCCCATCTATAAATATATTAAACAACCACGGTGACATCACACATCCTTGTCTAAGGCCTACTTTTACTGGGAAATAATCTCCCTCTTTTCTACATACTCTAACTTGAGCCTCACTATCCTTGTAAAAACTCTTCACTGCTTTCAGTAACCTACCTCCTATACCATACACCTGCAACATCTGCCACATTGCTCTCCTATCCACCCTGTCATACGCCTTTTCCAAATCCATAAATGCCACAAAAACCTCTTTAGCCTTATTTTAAAAAACTGCTCACTTATATGTTTCACTGTAAACACCTGGTCCACACACCCCCTACCTTTCCTAAAGCCTCCTTGTTCATCTGCTATCCTATTCTCCGTCCTACTCTTAATTCTTTCAATAATAACTCTACCATACACTTTACCAGGTATACTCAACAGACTTATCCCCCTATAATTTTTGCACTCTCTTTTGTCCCCTTTGCCTTTATACAAAGGAACTATGCATGCTCTCTGCCAATCCCTAGGTACCTTACCCTCTTCCATACATTTATTAAATAATTGCACCAACCACTCCCAAAACTATATCCCCACCTGCTTTTAAGATTTCTATCTTTATTCCATCAATCCCGGCTGCCTTACCCCCTTTCATTTTACCTACTGCCTCACGAACTTCCCCCACACTCACAGCTGGCTCTTCCTCACTCCTACAAGATGTTATTCCTCCTTGCCCTATACACAAAATCATAGTTTCTCTATCCTCATCAACATTTAACAATTCCTTAAAATATTCCTTCCATCTTCCCAATACCTCTAACTCTCCATTTAATAACTCTCCTCTCCTATTTTTAACTGACAAATCCATTTGTTCTCTAGGCTTCCTTAACTTGTTAATCTCACTCCAAAACTTTTTCTTATTTTCAACAAAATTTGTTGATAACATCTCACCTACTCTTATAATATAAAAATGCAAATTAAAATGGTACTTGTAATTGCACTAGGGTCTGATATAGGTTGTTAACAAGATCAAGAGTATAATTAGATTTAAATTGTCAAAATAAAATTCACAAATTAAAGTACCGAAAGAATAATAAGTAAAAAATAAGAATGACAATGACTTGGTTATATACGACATTTTTGTTGTAAACAATTATTGTAAACAAAATTATGATGAAAATATTAGTGTGGTTATTGTGTTGAATACAACGTGTGTACATATATACATTACGCATTACATATATTGGTCTCACAGGAAACAAACGTTAC